TCTTTGTCTCTCTCTACCTTCCACACCATGAATGCTCGGATTTGTTCCAGCCCCACGTCATTCCGACAAAGAGCTATTGGGCGAAGACAGCCAATGAATGAATTAAACATGCAGGGACTGGGTGAGGGAGCTGATGGTTCGTTGGTGGAAGTAGCTCAGAACTTTGACCTAACGAGAAGCGCTGCAGTTAAACAAATGTCGAAGCAGACGGAACAAATGGGAAGGGAGGAGAAACCAGCCCTCACACGGCACATCCATCATCCCCTTGTTAGCATCTTGGCATAAACACACACACACAGGGCCGGGCAGCTTCCTGGGCCAGATGGCCTCTTGATGAGAAGCTCCTCAGAGGGGATGGGTTGATTTGTGAACCCCAACATCCACATGTCCCTCCTCCGGACGCAGCATCCAAGAGAGGTGGACTGGGATAAGATTGCTGCTTGTGTGCGTTACCGTGGGGGTGGGGTGGTTATTGTGGAGACGAGAAGAGAGGGGATTATAGTACGGAGGCAGATTTAATTTCAGATGAAAGCACGAGACTGAATGAATGAAGGATTTTTACAATATTGTGTTTTAAAACAAAATCACCGATTGTGGCTTAATGTTGAATCACACACGTCAGCAGACACACAGACTGGTTTTATTCACGCTGACAAGTGGAAGTAAAAATGTTTTATAACCAAGACTGAATTTAACTTTGTTAGATTTTTCTACCTGGATTATCGCGCATGCATCAGGATATTTTATTACCGGTTTTAAATTAAGACCCTCGTGTACGAGTCTGTGCAGAAACGCTTCCTGGATCCAGTGTGGGTCCAGCTTAGACCTGAACGTCAAGAGACTAAAGGGTGAAATTTCTCCTTCAAAAAGTCCTCCCGAAGAAGGCGTGCACGCCGAAACGATTTGGAGGGCTCTAGAAGAGTATGCTATAAAAATTAAACACATTTTGACAATTTCAAATTACCTTTTGTTGAAAAAATAACCTGCTACAGCTATTTTATTCAAACTTTGTTCTGTTAGTGACATAATCTGTCCATTTGTCTGTTTTCTCCCGTCTTTATTTCCTTTCCTGATCCTTGTGCTTGACTCTTCCTTTCTGTGTGGCTGCGTTGTGTGGTCTGTCCCAGATATTGCTCCCTCATGTAATCAAGTCCCTGCCTCCTACACCTGTTGTCTGTCCCAGGTGTTTTCACTCGGTCTCATCAGTGTCTGTGTGTAGAAGTTGTCTGCGTCTCCTGTTCTTTGTTATCTGGGCATTGTCTCATGAAGACTCCTTGGTCCTGTTCCCTGTTCTGCACCACGTCCTGGTTTAGTCTCCCTTAGTGTCATCTCATGGTTCATGGAAGCTGTTGCTGCCACGTCAGTCCTTTTGTTTATTTTTAATAATTCTATTTTGGTTTATTCATTCAGTCTTTATTTATACAGTTTAGTCCCATTGAGCCTCGAGGACTCATTTACAAGAGAGACCTGATTTAACAGAGTGATGTCAACAGTGGACAACAAAGACAACAAGAGACAATCATAAAGGATGCGTACAAATTTAAATTTCTTTTTTCTTTTTTAACAAATGAAAATAAAATGGTAATTAAAAGGAAAAGTAGCGAAAAAACAGCTAGATTGTGTTTATTATGTTTATTTATTATGATTATGTTTATTTTCTGCGTTTCATGGTCTTTTGTTTTCAGTTCCACGTCCCCTGTGGCACCAGTTCATTTTCCCAGTACTTTTTCATAGTTTCTGCTCCTCTGTTTTACCACGCCCACCTTCACCTGTTCTCTCGTACTATCAGCACACCTGTTTCCAGTTACCTCCAGCGTTCTTAAGCTCCACCTGAAGTCTGGCAAAGTGTGTTTGCACGCCATGTCCGGTTCACCTTCACGTCTACTCAGTTTGTTTTCTTGTTGCTGCTACGTTTGTTTAATAAAGTTATTTTATTTAACCCAAGCTCCTCATGTCAGCCTGCAATCCCGAGTTAGAGTTCAAGTATTTTGCACTTAATGTAAATATTTGTGATCACTCTGTTAATAAATAATATTAATTAAAAGTCAGTAAACAAATCAATGTAGGTCATTTGGCTCTGAATCAAATATTTAGATGAGTGTTATTTATCTGACTTTGCTTTTTCACGTGAATGCTGAAGTTATTTATTATGTAAAGTAACGGAAACAGCAGATCCCCATCCTTATTGCTCCTATAGATGTCTGAGGATGTGTGTGTGTGTGTGTTGGTCCATTCATGAGACCACCATCCAAGAAAACAGGAAGCAGGTGTTTTCAGAGGAGCAGATCCATCACAGGTTGGCATGTGTGCAGCAGAGTGCCTTCTTTGTCCTGTCTGTTCTTATTTATCAGCAATGGATGAATGGACACACACACACACACACAACCTTGTCTGATACGTTCTACCTCTTGGTTAATTGCAACATTTTTTTTAAATATTTTGTCTGAACATGTAGAATTCATTTGTTGATAATTAACAAAAATTAGTGTAAGGGGACAAAACTGGTTGCATTTGAAGACAAAAACTGGAAAACGATCATAACGTGAACAGCAAGATCGGACAATTTATTACCATGAATATCCAGACACCCCCCCTCACACACACACAAAGAAGAAAACATTTAATAAAGTTTTCTGTTTGTTTGGGCTGGTTATGTAAAAGCTTGTGTTTATTCCTTATAAAAACTGCATTTTGTTTTATGTAAACGTAGATTTAGACACAGAACAAACCTAAATTGCTAAAGCACAAAACAGATAAAACCACATGATTAAAAAATAAAACAACAACGTTCAACATCGTGAAAGTGCTTTTATGGTATGAGCTTATAACGATGCAAGTTTAATTTACATTACACATTTAAATTATCTCAAGTGTTTTACAGTCAAATCTGAGAACAATGGAATAAAACAAGTTATAAAATCAAAAAGATGAACAGTGGAATAAAAAGACAATAAAATAGAGATGAGGCGCAGTAAAGGTGAATCAGATCTATTCAAACTGTGCGATATGTTTAAATTAAAAGCCAAATTTAAATATTGGGTCTTAAGCAAAGACTTAAAAAGTCTCAGATAAATAACGTCATGTGCTGCCTGTAAAGCCGAGTTTATTTATTGATCTCTGGACTCGGAGTGACTCGCAGCCATGCTAATGAATCAATAAAACTCCGTCAGCAGGTTGGGCGCAGGTTTCTGCTTGACTCACAGTTCGTCTCATTTTCCCCCTTTGTTGGTTTTGTGTCACGCTTGTGGACGACTGAAACAGGGATGCAGACCGACACAAAGAACTTTTAATAAATTTTAATATTTATATATTTAAAAAAAAAAAGTCTGATGTTGCAGCAACACCAGGAGAACTGGGTGCGGCATGACACTCAACAATACCGATGAGTTGAAGCTGAGGGAATGTAAAGACTGGGGTTGATGAGAGGAGAGGCTGCAGCTGTGACTGATTAAACAGGGAACAGGTGTAACTGGGCGCGGCAGGAAAAGTACCGGTACCGATGAGGGACAAACGCTTGTAGCACCGAGAACACAAGAAACAAACAAATCAAGATGAAAACATCAATCATAAGAAAAGCAAACCGAAACACACCAATAATTGACATTTTGAGACAACTTTTATTCTGAAACCACTTTATTTGTAGCCATCAGATATAAATATTCAGACAGTGATATCTTAAAGAGTAAGGCTTCACTGATAATGCAGATTTGTACAATATTAATAGACTCCAAATACAGCAAATTACTGTAAACTCAGATAAACAGCGTGTGATTAAAAGATGGCATGAATGAAATGTTTTATTTGCATTAGTACATATTGTATGATCAAGTATTTTATTTGTAATTCTTCACTTTAAAAAAAAATTTGATTGGTTTTACTACTAAAAATTAAATCAATTCATTTAAATCAAGTAATAAAATCTACTAATTTGATGTTTTTTCCCCATCTTTAGTGATCTGATTGATAACCAGAAGGCACCGTAATTTCCAGACTATTGAGTGTACCCTGAATATAAGCCACGCCCACTAAATACTTTTTTTTTTTTTTTTTACATATATAGCCGTGGGTTTCCCCGTTGTAACATGAGATATTTACACAGAAAGATTTTTTAAACTTTTAATTAAATACAGACTTTTTTTTGTCTGAACGGTGCCTGTAACAGGGCTGGTTAACAAATAAAATAAAATACAGTAGCCTACCAGGAAGTTATTGATCGTTATCCATATTCCTCTTGCACAAGCTTGTGCTGTCCTCTTGCATGGCTGTCAGGATCCACCGGCAGACTTGAGCAAAAGTTGCTCTGCACATGCAGGGGAGTCCCCCCTCACGAGGATCGGGGATTCCCTCCCTCCCCGTTCTCCCTGTTTCCTGTGACCTGTTCGGTACTTTCACTGGTCAGATTTTTTTTTAACCTTTATTTATACAGGTAGTTTCATTGAGTCACGAGGACCCACCCCCCAAGAGAGACGTGTATTGGGCAGCTGTGTGAGCGCCCGGGTGTGACGGGGCTAAATGTTTTTACGGCATGCAGCTCGTTAACCCGTCAAAAAATAAATAAAAAATTATAAATTAGCCGCAACGTTGTATAAACCGCGGGGTTAAAGTGTGTGAAAAAAGTTGCAGCTAATAGGCTGAAAATTACGGTAATTCATTTGAGTGAGTTTTGTGTCAGTGAAATGGTTCCTGGTGAGTCTGCTTCAGGCTGAGATCAGGAGTAATCTGAGTCTTCATGGAGAATAATCTGATTACACATCTCAGGAAAAGCCTCGGTGGTTGTAAACGCTCTGCTCCAAAACCAGCCTCATATTCAGCTAATATAATTTCTTAAGGATTTACATACATATCATTTTCTTAATTAATCAAGAAACCTGAGACTTACTCTTGACAATCTTCTGTTTGTTGTCGGTTTATAATAAATTTAATTCCACAGCGACTCAAAACGTTCTCGTCTCCTCGATGCATTTTGATTTGACGTCTTTTCTCTTTGGGTTTCTCTGCAGTGTCAGCTCTCGCAGGCTCTAAGCGGCGTGTCGGACAAAGCTAAAGAGGCAAAAGAGTTCCTGGTTCAACTCAAGAACATGCTTCAGCAGATACAGGTAACACCGTACCACATGAAACTATGAAGAACTTTGTAAAATAAACGCTCCTTCTGTCGACGATGCAACGTTGATTCATTAAATGAGCCACAACGTTTGTTCATTTTTTCAGGATCCTAAAAAGAGAACGTGCAAAACACACGTGACTGTGTCTGTAAAATAAATTTAGACATTTAGTATTTTTTACTCTTAAACATCACTTTACATTTTGCATCAATTCATTCAGTAACTTTGTTTATGGCTAAAATTTCCACCCGCTGTTTTACTGTTTAGACAATAAAAATTTACAAATAAGAAAACAATTAAACAAGAATGCACATTGTCTAATAACAAAATAAATAAATAATTGTGAATAAAGAAGGGGAAAAAAAGACTCTTTAACAATGTTCAGTCAGATCAGAAAACATAAAATACATTTTAATTTACCCAATCTCTCCTGTTGCACAGATAGTTGTAATTACTGTTGCTTCTCGTCTTTCATAGTCTGGATTATCTTTTACTTCTGATTTTGATCTTTTTAAAAAAGAAGGTCTTAGACGTTTAAAAATGAAACATTAGACCTGCGATTACATCTGATGATCAAGTAGAAGTCTTTATATAACGTAGCCATCATCGCATCATGTTGTTTTGACAAATTGTGCATATTTTGTTTAAAAGCCTGCTTGTAATGAACCATAAGCTTTAAAAAAAAAAATCCGGCTTTTAACAGCAGAAGGGACGTAAATCTGCGAAACCAATAAGCCATAAAACAAACGGTCTAAATGTGAATGAGTTTGTTTTCCCTGCAGACTGCATTAACATGCAGCTGATCTCTCCTCGCAGCATCTGTCAGTCACACACAAAACACACACATGCATACTGATGTATGTGGAAACACCACGGGCACGAACGAAGAGTCTTAAAACCAAACAGAGGATTGCATCTGAGTTTTAAAAACCTCTTAGTGTTGCAGTGTCTGGAAGCCAGAATTCAGAGAAATAGATAACACACACACATAATCTTGTGGAGGTGTGTGGAGTGGAGGACAACACAGCTGATCAACCATCTGACTGAACTAAACTCTCGTTGTAACTAGGCCTGTCGTGATAAACAACAAATCAATTAATCGCACGATAAATTAAAATTATCAACCTCATTTATCGGCTTTATCGTTTCTCCGTATCTCTCTTTCTACTGAAGACACTGGATGACAAAAGGCTCAACTCTGGTGCTCTTCACTGACCCCTGCATTTCTCTTTAAAATCTGTTTTAACGATCCAAAATCGCGTTTTTGGATCGTTAAAAGCAGCTAAGCTGAGAAGCTAAGCTACTAGCTAAGCTAACAGGCCGACCTCGGGGGAAAAACCTCCGTATTGTCGAAGCTCCAAAAGTCACATGCTAAAGAGCTCAGACCACACCGAGCGTCCGTCATTTTAAGAACTGAAAAAAGTAAAGAGAGACAGCCCATGTCACGTCAAGGGGCCTCCCTCCCATTTTTCTTAAAAGAGACACGCTGCTCGCTCCCTCACTATCCATCCTTCGGTCAAAACAGTTTTATACTGCCATCCGGTGGTCAAAAAAGGTACTACACTCATAACAAATTAACCAACATTTCTTTTTAAATTTGACAATAATTACTAATTATTGTCAAATTTCAAACAATATTATCGTTTATCGCAATAATTTCTGAAACAATCGCCCAGCAAAATTTGTTATCGTGACAGGCCTAGTTGTAATTGGGCCTAAAAGTTTATAAGCTCATCAATACTATTCATTTTTAAAAGGACCAGCAGTCCTTGAAGGAACGCGTGTCGCCCGCCACCTTTCCTGCTAAAATCACCTTCTGATGAGAACTAGCAGAGTTGTAGACGCTTTGATCAAACTTGGAAAACGTTGTGACGTCAGAGCATGTCATGGTAACAACTCTCAGCTACTACCACATACATGTTAGCTCCATAGCTAAAAAACTGACAGAGTTGTAGTCATGTTGATCAGTTGTGGCAGACAACTTGAACTGATTACATCCATGGATTATTTTCCAATTCTTTCATGAAATGCATCCATTGCTTCATGAGATGTTTTGCTAACAAACGGGATTGACTCCTAACAGTTTTTGCTAATTTGCCAAGCAAAACCTCACGCATTAAGTAGCACTCTGGGTATGTGTTAAGGATGACGCTCAGCTACTGCCACACCAACAAATTATTTTAGTATCTGTAAAATTGATCTTGAGTTATTGTGTGAATGTTTGTGAAGCATTCACATTTTTATGTTTTTCTTTGGAGGGAAATGTTGGAGAACATGGCAGCTGTACCAACAGCCAGTAAATATTATGAATGGTTGGCTTGTGTGCGCAGCCTGCTGAAATAATTATTCACGTTTGTGCAGCCGAGACAAAAATAGAACAAAACGAGGCAAAGAAATTTACACATCAGTACCAAACAAAAAGCAGCTCTGAGCTGCTGCATGAAGAAAAAATACACTAACAGATGCTTTACTCTGACCTTTTGACCTTTGGTTCAGTTTCTTTCTGCTTTAAATACATTTTTAAGTTTTTTTTTTTTGTTGTTGTTGTAGGAAAATGGTGTGGAGTTTGAAGCTTGCCTCGTGGCACAGTGCGACTCTCTGATAGAGGCGCTGACCAGACAGAAAGCCAAACTGCTCACCAAGGTCACCAAGGAGAAGGAGTACAAACTGAAGGTGAGACGGTTTTTAATGATGAACCTTTCAGGAATAAGACATGATGCGAGTCAGTGCAGGGCCATCAGACAAGTTGAAACAGTTTAATTTATAAAGATAATTAGATGGTTTAGACACAAAATGACAGATTGTTAGGATCTCTGTTTTATGTCTTTTTTTTTGTGCATTTATTGTTTGGCGTTTTCCTTTTTGATTCTGTTTGTTTTGTTTTCTGTCCCTCAGTTTAAACTTTTCCTCAGTTTGTTTCTGCTCCTCAGCTCCTGCCCTTACCACGTTCACCTGTTCCCTGTTCCATTAGGCTCAGCTTCCTCTAAACTCTCATCACCCTAAGTTCATTTATCCCCTCCAGTCTTTCCCCATAATGTTATACAAGAAGGTTGTACAAGGAGGGCGCCCCGCCCTGTCAACAGAACCGAGCTCCCCGCCTACTGAACTGTCCATCACCCGCAACCCACCCCCATCGACAACTGCCGGCACTGACGTAGCGCTAAGATAGCGGTGCCTAATACAGATGTGCTAGCTACAAAGCTACTGACGTAGCGCTCTGCTTCTCTCATGCACCCCCCCCATC